CTAGTTGCGAAAAAGAGATTAAGCCACTTCCATACATTTAGTGAACTTCATATCTTAAAATAATAGTTAGTTTCCTATTTTCATCCTCCATTTATCATACAGCAAACTATGTAGTTAATTGATGTTGGAATACCTTTCATTTCGTTTGAAGAAGCGAGTGTAAGGGATTCGTAAGTTGGTCTCACCGGAGGCTGTGGAGGGATTGCCTTGGAGCTGTGATTGTAGATTTGTGCGAATAGGTCCTCAGCACACCGTATTGCGACCCCAATAAACCCTTACTGAGTTTTCATTCATCATGTGACGGGCATCGTCAGAGCAGGATACCATGCTCAACGATAATTCACCAAAACACGAAGGCATGAAAGGTGGCCGACGGCAAACCTACCTACTACTTATAATCCAATTTGGTTCACTTACTTAGGCATTTCATCTTTGGGTTGGATATTTTATGCTTTTCCTAAATGCTTAATAAAAAGTTAAGTTAGGTGGCTGCGGATGACATGTGAAGTTGCTGCAGATGAAGCGTTAAACTAATGTCTATGTGAACCAAATTAGATTACAATAAATAGATAGGTTTGAAGCCGGCCACCTTTCTTGCCTTCGTGTTTTGGTGCATTATTGTTGAGCATGGTGTCCCGCTCTGACGATGTCCATCACATTACAAATGAAAGTTAAGCAAGGATTCATTAGGATCGCAGGGCGGTGCGCTGAGGACCTATTCCAACAAATCTACAATCATAACTCCAAGGCAATCCCCCTACAGCTTCCGGTGGGACCAACTTACGAGTCCTTTCCACTCGCCTATTCAAACGAAATCTAAGGTACTCTAACTATTGAGGGATTCTTCGAAACCAACTTTTTATATATATATTTATTTTGTTTTCTCCCTTATTGCTTTTTTTTCTTCTTATACAGACTCTATTCCAGTTTTTCATTGATCGAGTTCGAACCAACCTGCACATAGTGCTCTGCATGAGTCCTGTAGGTGAGCCTTTCCGCAACCGAATCCGCATGTTCCCCAGCTTCGTCAACTGCAGCACTATTGACTGGTTTAGTGAATGGCCAAATGATGCACTCTTGGAAGTAGCTGAAAAGTATTTAGCTGATGTGGTTTTGTTCCTCGGAGATGAGGAGGTAAGTATGATGGCCCATGCTATAGTTGCTGAATTGATCTGTCTTCGCTTTTGTATCTCTCAATTAACTGATCTGTTTTATCCAATGTGTTTATATGACATAGGAGAAGTTTTTTTAATTGTATCTTCAATTACAATTTAGATAGTAAGGTGACTATTTCTATTTAAAGCTGACAAAGCATCTTAAGTAATAATAGAAGTTGTTTGACCTTGTTTTCGCAACTTGGTCATGGTGGTAGGAAGACTGATAGAAACGCACCT